TCCCTCCCCTCTCCCACAGCATGGACCCTTCCCAGTATCTGGTCATGGTCACACCATCCCCTAGCTAATGCTAGCTAATTCTGAGAGATGGTCGTGTGTGTGTGTCTCCAATTTCACTGGGACAAAGGCAGACAGAAAAGTGTCTGCTTAGGGCATTTTGGAGCTAATCAATTAGATCAGCTAGTAATGTCCCTCCATTCCTTGAAAAAAGCTGTTTAAGAAGAGCTTGAACTAATGAGAAAGGGTTTTGTTTACTTGATGGGTTGTGATAAGCTTTGTGTTACCAGCTTTCTGCTGGCTCCCTTGCCTGTCAGGTTTGCAGACAGTATAAAGAAGCAGGGAGAGGGAGATTGAAAAGCTTAATATCATCAACAGATGCATGCACTGCACACAACCACTCCTCCTTCCCCCCTGTGCCTCAGAGTGCTAGCTGGGGTCTGGAGTTTGGCAACACTCCCTGCCCCTTGAGAAGCAAGCTAGGAAAAGCCAAGGACTGTGCAGGCCAGGGTGGGGGTTTAAACCCCTCCCTAATCAGAACATCCTGTTAGGGCTTGGCCATGCCCCAGCCCCCCTCAGTATTATGGAAGGGAAGGGAGGGCTGCTCTAGTGCCTCCCTGGCTTCTAGCCTCAGTCACAGCAGACATGAGCCTGCATTTCTTGATTTAAAAGTGAATGCCTATCCACTTGCAAATTGGTTCAAGCTCTGCAGGTTAGACTAAACTGCAAAGATTGAATCAATTCAGGCTTAGGTTTTTTTAATGTCTGTCCCTAGACCTGCAGTTCTGGACTGAAGGACTGCACTCTTGGGCACATGTTCCAGCTGATACAAGTTAAAGCAAACCTGAATGTGCCCTAACCTGCACTGTGTTATGCACTGGGGCATGGTCAGTCTAGGTTTGTTACCTGAAGCACAGGTGTAGTCCAGATTGGTTTCCCAGGGAGCTGGAGATCTGGAAAGGTCTGGTGTCAGAACTAGATTGGGAAGTCATAACTGAAGTCAGGACAACTCAGGGTCAGAAACTGAAGCTGGGGATGAGGTAAGATGAGGGTTAATTAGGAACAGAAGCCAAAAGGCAGAGATGAAGGTCAAACCAGAATCACAGTCAGGGAACTGGAATCAGGGAATGGCCAGAGCTCTTACTGGATGCCAGAGTCAGAGCCAGGGGTCAAAACCAGAAGACCAGCCTGGAAGTGCATAGAAGGTCAGGAGCAAGAACTTTGGTCTTTGCTCAGACAAAAAGACTGCAGGCTGGGCCTGCGTTTTAAGGGCTGGAGCGGGTAGGCCTGTTGCCTGTGGTTTCAGGGGATTGATTGCCCTGATTACCTCAGCCCTGCTGGGACCAGGGTGCTGCTCTGGGCTTGCTTCAGGTGACACTTCTTGTAGGGATGACTGGATTGGGACCAGCTGGGTTCAGGGTTCTGGCCTAGCCTCCTTACGCACAGAGAATCAAACCAACTGCTGGATGTCCCTAGTGTCTGGAGAAGAAGTAGCAGGAAATATTACCTCCCTGACCAAATGAAGTGAACTGGTGTTTCTGATGATCTGGCTGAGTCTGTTAGTAAAAGATCCAAGGGACAGAGGATCTGTATACCCATAGCTTGGTGCTCAGTTCTTTCCTCAGCCCAATTTTTCAACCACCATTTCCAATGTGTCCACCTCAAATGGAAAGTGACCTGGTTTAACCAATCAAAGCTCTTTAAAAAAAAAACCACTGTTGCCCACATTTTTCTCCTTTAAAGAGGAATCAATTTTTAAAAAATTTTGCAACCCTTTCATATATGCTTGTTGACCCACTTTTGGGTTCTGACCCATGGGTTGAGCAATGCTGCTGTACGGAAGCTGCCCTGTTAACAACCCCATTTTATACCCTTCCAATACATCTACAGTAGGAGTTTTCACAGGAATAACTATGCTGGTATCATTATCCCCTCTGTGTAGACAAGGCATGCATAAATGGAAATTTCTGTTATTTACTTGCCTTCTGTTTTCTCTTAGCTATGTGATGGATTGCTCTATCTGTGGCATTTGCTTTGATGCTTGTTAATTTGATGTAAAAGGCTCTTTGGTGACTTGTCTTGATGAGTTTTTAGTTATGCCACTGTTCTCTATATTTATTACCTTGAATATAAACATCAACATTTAAAAAACCCAGCACAGATAGCTAATGAAATAAATATAACCACTGCGTTGCCAGCTCTTGGGATTTTATTGAGTCTCACAAGAGTAGCTGCTTTTTTCTCTCAAGCTCCAGTTCTTGGTTTTATGTGAATTCAGAAGAATTTTAGCTTTCATTTTAAAACTGTGAGAGCCCCTAGCCTTCATAGCTATTGAGGAAACTATGACCCTGAATAGTCTAAATCAGAATACAAATGAAGAGACCTAATAGTTATTTTAAAATCCTGTTATATCTTTTTAATTCAGTATTACAACTTGGGGAGACTGTTACTCATCTTGTTTGAGTGCTAAATGTCATCACACAAGCTACAGAACCTAGGCCTGAAGTTCTGTAGCTTGTGTCTCACAGGCTACATACACTGTGCCATGTAACATAAGGCTAGTCTGTTAATCTTAATTAATTTACATTATATTTTAAGCAGCAAATTCTACAGAACATTTATAACCATCATTTACAGCATGGGAACATGGTTAACAGGTATCACTCTAAAATAAGCTAACATTTTATGAATTCATTAATAACGATTCATTCTTTGTTAGTATAAACTGCTTTAAAAGAAAAGCAATTATGCCATTCTAGTATACTGCAGAGCAATACTAATAATACTTTGTCTCAACGTGTTGCAAACATTTACGGTTATCAACCAATCTGTCAAATCGGCACGGGTTACATAATTAATTTGTCTACCACTGAAATGTAGCCAGTCTTTAGGTGGAAAAACACAACAGCAAATAGTAATATGACACAAGTTTAGGGCAAGAAGTGGAGAAAAAAATGATATAATATTCAGTTTAGACTCCTTTTAGACTGTGTTGGAATAAGGCCAAGGCTGAAGGCTAGATTCTGTATAAATTGTTAATATCTATAATTTATGTTAAGTGGTGTTAAACGTGAAAGGGAGGAAGGGCAGTGTTGGAGTTAAAACACAGGCTTTGAGATATACTTTCTATTTCCTGCTCTGCCACCAATTTCTCATGTGACCTGGAAGAAGAATTTCAGGCCATGATTGTCAAAACTATTCATTGGCTTTGTTACCCAGCTTGAGACAAGCAGGGTATTGATTTTCAAAGATACCAAGACCCTGCAGGTCCCACTGAGTTTGAGTACATTGTGGGAAACTGTACTGCTGACACTAAGGCTGTGGACAGACATAACTTTCCACCACTTCAAAAGGGGAGAAGGAATTGCCACTCAGGAGTGCGCAGCAGCTGTTAGGATGGAAGGGTTTCCTGGGCATGCTCCTGTGGGTTAGGGCTAAAAATGGAGGTTGGGATGCGTCTCTCCACAGCTGATCTGACTGATCAGCAAAAACAGGCATCACCCTTGTCCCACAGGGTTGGACCCTTGCCACTCTTAGGGCTTCAAGGGCCTTATTTTGTGGAACAACAGCTCCAGGTGCCACACCCCAACCCAAGGTGCAGCAGCTTGAAAGCGTGCCCTGGTAATCTCCCTGCAGAGCATTTCTGGGGCTGGCAGGCACGAAAATTCCCAGGGCATACATGATTGGGGCCCTGAAGCCCCAAGAGCACCTTTCCCAGTCTGGCTGAAGAGCTCTGGCAGTTTTGGGCTGCCCACTCTCTCTCACCATAAAGCAGATATGTACTATAAAAAAGCAGTACAAAGTTATACCACCTCTTGTCACAGCCACAATTTGGGCATTTGTGGCATGACAAGCAGCATAGATGTCTATTTGCTTTTGCTTTGTGTCTCCATAAAAATGTTTATGGCAGCACAAAAGCGACATCCGTTTATAGCCTAAGGGTGTGTCCCTCTGCGTGTGCATGTCCAGCTTTCAGCACCTCAAACCTGACTGAGGGGATGCAGACCACACATGGCACATGTGCACCAGTTCTCCATGCCGCAGATTTGCAGCATGATGCCAAGATTTGACACTGGAAGATCCTGATGTCAAAAAAAAATTGCTGCAAAAAGTGGCATGGCACTTGCAGCAGCAGTGTGAACTGCTAGAAGCAGAGCCTGGCAGGCCAGAGCCATGCTCTGGCTGCCAGCCAGGGCTTGAACAGCTAGGTTGCCACCACTGCTGCCCTAGGAGGCCAGGACTCCAGGTAAGGCTGCTGGGCCCAGCACAGGTGCTGACCCCAGCCTATAGTACTACACCCGGGACAATTTGCCTTGCACCAACCCCACATGCAGGGGCATGAAATTTGTGCCACTATTATTTTTGCCATGACAACTGCATGCCCCTGAATGTGGGGACATGCCCTAAGTGAGCTTAACTATTGTAACTTTAACCTGGAATGAAACAGGATTTAAGTTACAACAGTTCTGCTACACTTCTATCCTTATAAGAGCATGCAGATGTAACAGTTACATCCTACCAGCTTGTGCCAGTATCATTCCACACTGGTATAACTGTTATGTCTCTCTATTCTCCAGGTTTCACAGTGGCACTCAGGAAATCTAAGTACTTGCTTCCAAAGTGTGTGCTGTAATTTTCCCATCTGGAAAATGGCAAGAATGTGGTAAATTGAGGTGTCAGGTAAATTAATTCATGTCTCCCACCACATTTTGTGGGTTTCACTAGCCAGTAATCTTATTGCTTGCTTATTTGTGTATGAAGTTTGAGAGCTGCAGGGAATCAATTCTGCAGTCATGCAAACATGAAACTCCTATTAAAGTAAACAGGAGCTTGGTGTATAGAAAGATGACCGGATCAAGCACTCGTACTACCTCACTTCTGATAGTAAGACCTGTGATCTAATGTCTTTACCTCTGCTCTATGCATAGTAATTGGTGACCCCATTGATACCTGTTTCAGTGTTTTTGAATAATTGTTGTTTATCGTTTTTAACCTTTTTGCAGGAGTGTTTGCATTTGGACTTTTTGCCACTGACATATTTGTAAATGCTGGCCAGGTAGTGACTGGAAACTTGGCTCCATACTTTCTCACGGTGTGTAAACCCAACTACACAGCAAATGACTGCCGGGCTCACCATCAGTTCATAAACAATGGGAATATCTGCACTGGGGACGTGGAGGTGATAGAAAAGGCAAGGAGATCTTTTCCATCCAAACATGCTGCTTTGAGCATTTACTCAGCCTTATATGCCACGGTGAGTACCTGGGACAAGTGCCAGTTCAAACAAAGAGGTTTCTGTTGCTATGACTGTACATAGATTTTTCTGTTTTCTATTCATGGTGAGAAAGAACCTATACTTTTTGTGTACGTGTGCGACTGGAATCCTTTCTAATCCAAATTCAGCCCTTGGGTAAGGCAGTGTAGCTCCCCGCACAGTCCCACCTGCGGGACAGTGTGTCCTGAAAGCATGAGGGCCAGTTTGGGAACTGGAAGGGCCTGGATTTCAACCCTGCCTCTGGTGCTGATTTTTGTTGTGGCCTTGAGGGAGCTATTTCACCTCCCTGCCTCAGTTTCCCCATTTGTAAAACAGATAATGATACTGCTTACCATGCTTCACAGGACAGTACTAACTTTAACTTAAGTACTAAATCATACCATTTTAATGAAAGCCTCTTTTGATTAGACCTGGGCTGAATTTTGCTTCCCTTCTCAGAGATAGAACTCTACATACCGGTGAGCTTTCCCTTAAAATAATTTAAGTACAATTTTTTTTGCCAGGATAATAAAATGACTGGGCTTGCAGAAGGGAATTTCCGGAGGGTGATATTGTTTTACTGCCAGGTCAGAAGTACTTGATCCCTTTGAAATCCCTTCTAATCATATCATTTACTCTTGTGTTCCTAGAAACATTATAACACCCTGCAGTCATGCAAGACTGTCTAGTTAAAATTTGTGCAGTGCTTTCTGAGCATGCAGGAGACTGAAAGTGTTGGAATGAAGGTAGCCTGACACAGTACTCATTGAAAGCCCTGGTAGTCTTCCTGTTTTCTTGACAAGGTGAAATTCTACCATCCTTTGCTCCTCATTTTCCTCCCCAGTATTCCCACCAAAATCAGTGGGCCCTCTCAGGAATTTAAGTACCCCACAAGGTACGACTCGCTCAATTTGGCTCAAAGGGGAGGTTTGAGGTATGGGTCTGTTGTGCAGCCAGTCAAATGCAGGCCTTAAATCTGCTCAGCCAGGATATTCACTGAATGATTCCAACTTACCTGGTTAGCAAATGCATAAGACTCTTTACTACTTGTATTTTGGAGCATGAAAGGCAAGACGTTTACCACATATTTTTTTTCAATGTCATGTAGATGCTAACAGTGACACAGAAGCATTAACTTACATGACCTGAGAGCACCCTCCAGGTACAACCTCTACATTATATCTAAGTGCATGGCTACATAGCTAACTTACCTTGCCACACAACAGCACATTCAAGCATCACACTGCTATGCATGAACTGAACTTCCTGAACTGGAAAGAATGTAGGCACATTTGTGCAGCATGTCCAACAGGGTAATTAGCACTGCTGAGTGACAGTGACAGTTAGCCTGCCCCCTGCTAATTAGCATATCCACAGCACCAGGCAACTACAGCTATACTACTTCAGTTGTGAGGGCAACATGCACAGAGCAGCATGGTACACTGATTCTTTGAGGGCTCCCTCTTTCATGGTAAGTTAACCCTGTAGACATGACTTAAGATCCCTGTAGTTGTTCCCATACCCATTCATTTGGGCAGGGCTTGTCCTGGAGTGCTTGAAAAGCACCTAGCACAGGGTGGACACCACTGGAAAAATAATAATGTTCTACAAAACAAGCTCTATTTGGCTAGGACATTTGGGGAGCAGCAAAACCCTATGAGATACTGGCTCTATTCCTGACATTCTGCCTTCCCATTAGAGCCCTGGTTCCAGGGAGACTTCTGACCAACACTACTCCTTAGTGCCACAGAGGAAGAGCTCTCAGAGGAGCTTAGATGCCACTAAAAGGATACCGGTGTCCTGGCTGATGCATGTTTTTCTAGAATCCGGGCTGGAGGAAGGACATTCTGTATCCCCTGCAGCCTCCCTGAACTTACTGTTTCCCAAACCCCACCCCAGCACATTCCCAATTAGGATCCTTCCCAGGTCTGAAATGGGCAGTGCAGGGGGTAACTGTACCCCGCTTCTGCACCGAATGGGATTGAACCACTCTTGGAATGTCCTTCTGTGCATAAATCTGCTAGTGGAGGAGGGAAATGAACTGGGCCTGACATATAAGAGGGAGATTATGTACCCACCTAAGGGAGTAAGCCTTCTCCTTTATCCCCTTCTTGTCTTTTTCAGTCTCAGAGTATATGGGTGGTAGGAAGTTTTGGCTCTAATCACTATTTGACCAGGCACCACTACCAAGCCAGTGTCACTGCTGCTGGTACGGCCTGGTAGAAATGATAACTCCCACCCAAAGGAGTGGAAGCAGGAGGAATTGTGACCTAGAAGTGTCTTTCTGAGTCATAGAGTCACCTTGAACCGCCTCTGCGTTGGAGCATCTTACATTCCACTCAGTGTTCACAGTTCTGCATACAGACACATTGTAGCCCTGAATCTGCTATTATTTGATTTCTCTAGGTATGCAGTTACCATGGTTACAGTTTTAAAGCCAATAAAAAGCTAATAATTTGAATTAAACTAAGATTAATTGCACCTAATGCCTAATTGTTTCCCGTAGAATTATACTGAGGGACAGTTTTACTGTTTGTGATGAACCCTGTAAAAGTGGTAGAGGCACTGAACCTAATCTGCAGTATATTAAACTGGATTTTGGCCACTCAATACAAGTGAGAGAGAAGATGGAGCATGGATACTCTGGGATGGAGAGCACTCTGTGTGAATGCTCCCATCATCCTTCATACAGCTGGGGAGAGCCAAGAACCTACTCTACTTACTGAGCTAAAGTAACTTCTAAAAAGTCCTCTCCCACAGCTCTACTACATTGCCTTGTTCAGTATATGACACAGCTAACTGGGCCAAGTGCTGGACATGGGGCTTGCTCCAATTGTCTGTTGTGCTGCTTTGTAATTTTGTGGCCAGTATGGGTTTAGGTTGATGCAAAAGAGATGGTGAGCAACCAAAAGCTCTATCTTGGATTCCTTACATAAACCAAATTAACACTGCTCCAGTCAGTGAGTAGAGAAGTGAATGAGAATGAAGCCCCCAGTTCAGTCCTTTTAATTAGGGAAGGGAGAATCTGTTGTGTCAGATTTGGAATCCGTTCGGAAAGAAATGACGGGCTCCAGTTTCAGACCACACCTAGAAATATATGAGTCCAAGTTGTTTCTATGCCTTGGCTGTTGCGTGTGTGTTTATTTTAATCCTCTAGAAGTGGGACAAGAATTGGTTTCAAACAGGAGTTATTCTTGTTTTCAAAGCAGAGGCTTCCATTTGGTTAGAAATACATGCTTTTAATTAAATTTCTCTAAAAAAAATAGATTAGAAATATTCATGAGTATGCTAATAACTCGTGGCAGAGATATCAGTGAGAAATAGATATTTCATAACTACAAACGTGTTGTAATGTAAAACTTACCCAGGCCACATTAATTCTTACCAACTATCCCCCAGTTGCT